GCATTCCAGTTGCTTATATAGATTTAGCTCTGTGATTCAGTTTGAAATTATACCTTATAGTACTACTTTCTTATTGAACGAGTATTTCATGTTTCGGAAAGGAAAGTGCTTAAGTGTTAAATGCATATCATGAAGCAGATATTATATTTGTGTATTTTTCTTTTTACTATTAATACTGTTCACGTGCAATGTATTCATGTTTTCAAATAAATATCCTTTTTTTGCTCACGTTGCCTTCATGTGATGAAAACGACTAAGTCTTGCTTTTATGAACATAATTTGTAAATTCTATTATGTTATGTTGTGTTGTGCGCCAACAGGCCCACTTCGCCCTTAAACACAGGTGCCTGTTTCCACCACTGCCGAAGTACCCTGAAACAGTAGGTTTTGGTCATCTTTGGTTCTACATTGGTATTGCATGGCCTATACTCCAATCAAAATCAAGTTATAAAACCGACTTCCAAACTGTAAACAAATTGGCAACTGTCCAGCATTTTTCTGCCGATCGCAGGAATTACGAAACATAAATACCGTCAGCACTCTCCAAATGTTGTCATGTCATTTAGGAACTATTTCAATTGAGTTGATAATGTTCGCGAAATATGAGATTTAATTACAATACTGTATATACATCCTGAATAACAATCAGATCGCCGCGAGTCGGCGCCGCCATTTTGTTTGCAGCAAGTGCAAATGATGTAACAAATCTACCTGGTCAATAGGAAGGACACAGGAGGGTCATAGATCCTAATTGCCACAGTATTCCTAATTGCCACAGAATTTCGGCCTGGACTGGTAAGGGCGGAATCTGGATGTTCTATGGTCAGTTACCTCCTTTGCCTCGGGGACATTATCATTCTATGTTATTGAATTAACACAGCAATAGTATAACAGCAATACACATATCAGACAACTTAAACACTATACGATACTTTTAGTACCCCTCATAACACAACGAAGCCAGGGTTAGATGAGCCTGAAGTATTCTAATGATTGTCACAAGAAGTGAAAGAAACTGATGGGGCTTGTCTGGTACAAGCAAAACATGAACCGAGACTTGAGACTAATTTGAGGACATCATGAAACAGATGAAATCTATCTGCTGGAACAGTGAACAAACTTTACTTATTTTGTCTGTAGAGAAAACACTCCGACGTTAAGTCAGATGTAACGAAATTATCCTCAGGCGGTCGCTACAACAAGCTCCATTAACGAGATGATCATCCGTTTAGGACACCATGCAGACGAAACAAGTTTAACCTTGTAATGTTATAACACATGGATAGGCAATATTAGCTCAAATATACCCAAGGACAATCATGGCCAGACAGAACACGCAGCGAACAAAGAGTCGCATGCGACAATTCAATTACCGTCTTAATATGAAAGAGACAGATCTTCATGATATGAACTTCACGCCTCTACTTGATAGGAAAATTGGTTATTTCTTCTTCTATGATAAAACCACAGAGCCCTGTACTTTCTGTATAAGACGGACGACCCTGTAAAAGACGGTCCATCTCATTGAATTCATCTATCTGTGTGCCCCTAAAGCCCTTGCTAGTATTTGTCCTGGGATACCTTCGTGAGTTAATCATATTGGCGCCTGAAGAAACTTAGTTAAGTCTGTGATCCGGTTCTCAGGTTCAGTATTTTGAATTCCTTGCTCAGAGTCAGCTTCACCTCAACAACCGCGTTCCGTCGCTTTCATTTAATTTGAGTCCATTTCTGAGTTCCACTTGGTAACGTTTTTTCTGGAGGAAAAATACCGCCGGGTAAAGTAATTGCTCAGATTCCTACATTATTGGTTAGACTGCAAAGGGCAACTTAAGTTAGCAGACATGGATTGAAGGGAAATAGTACAATATTGGACTGATAAGGGTACAGTGATGTGTTCATTAGACCAGAGAAGGTCCTTTTACAGCATTGAAGAGTCATGTTTTTACTCTTGTTTCTGTCTTTTCAAAGACATGTGAAATTTATTGATAGTTTATGGGAGAGCATTATTTCCTCTTGAAATCCTTCAGGGATATTATCACTAAGCAAAATTTGTTGAAGCTCCAACCAGTTCCTTTCATCTTTGGCCAAATAAATATTTATTGGAAATGCTGAGCTTAGAGTTTCGATGGTAGGGTTGTGTGAGATTGTTCGATCATGTCTAGGCAAAGTTGATAAAATCGTTGATAATCGTTTAAGCACTGTTGACAGAAGCCACATGAACATGTTTATGATTTATTACATAAAGTGATATTTGGGGCAACTCGCACAAACATCTCCGCGCATGCGTGTGTATTTGCATGCCAAAGAAAACAATTTAATGGATATATATTGTTTATAAGAATAAAAGGAAACAATTATTTTCGGTAACGTTGAAAGGAGTTAGAATTTATAAAGGAGAGTAATGAAAGACTCCGCTGAAAAATTGCTAAAAGCTGTGTAAAACCTCACTCACTTACTGGCATCAGGCAATCATACGACAAACAGCTGGTACTTGTTTTTCTTACTGTATCAGATGGGCGCATTCTAAGTAAGACCTAAATGTATCAGGTCAAATAACTGAAACTGCTCTGTTCTCTTTTTCACGCTCTACCATTTCCTGGTCTTGTGTGTTTGTTGTTGAACTCGAGGTTCCAGCTACATGACGACGGTCTGCAAAAGAATCAACTCTGGACTAGACAATCCACTGATTGATATTGTGAGCACCAAGCCCCCACCGAGCCCCCACCCCCCCCTAATTAGATTAATGATTGTTTAAGGAACAAATGTGGAGTTACATAACGGTCAATCGAGATTCCAAACACGGAAAAGTTTCAGTTGAGAGGATTACGTGTTCTGAAATTAGACCTTACTCCTCGCTGAGCCTTGAGTTAAATTGACGTTATCAAATGTAGACAACTCACGGCCAATTCAATCAGTTAGTAACAGCTTCGTGACAGATGACGTGAGGACCGAGAATGAGCGAGACTGAACGAGAAAAGGGCGCATCTTGATACACCATCCACGGACGCGTGGTGGTTTCAGGGTACTGATGCAGATGACCAGAATATCTTTTTTCGGATTTAAGGAAGTGCCTATGTTAATGTGCTGGATGTGGTACAATTGGATGAGGTAGGGGATGTAAAAGTGGGAATTCATCTCCTGTTTGCTCCTTCACCTGCCAGTTAGTGTTACACAAACTCCCGCCAATTCCTGGACATCTATTTAAGTCAATCAGGGCCGGTTATCAGTGCCAATTCATCAACGCCTATTTACATGATCACAAATCTAGGACTAATTACACTGTGATTACATTTACAGCGCTGAATCGATGAAATCGCCTATCGTCCGTCCCCGCGTTCCTTCTATCACTGGGAAATCAAACTGGCAATGGCAGCTCTATTTGTCAACTTGTGTTAATTACATAATAACATTTCATTAAGTGCTCTCTTCCTGGCCCGATGACATCCCTAGCTATCGATGAACCCGTTTAGAAGACACTTGTTCATCGCCAGCCCAAATATACCTCAGAGCTTTTCATTTCATTTAGAACTGATAGGAACGTGATCTAACTACAGACAGAACTGACTAAGGTGTGTCACGTTAACACGGTTAGAAGTCAAGGTTCAATTAAAAATAGCATGAGCATGTCGTTACTGAACATTTGAAGCAAACCACTAATCAGTGATAAATATCATTCTCCGAAAGAAACCTTTCAAGATTAGGGGAGAAATTGGTTCTGTAGATTGTGGAACCTATTTCTGGTGTCAAGGCGTTGACGAACCGTGTGTGTGTTGGCTGATAACACTGTTTTGTGAATCGCTGCTGTGATTAATAGTCCAGCTTATGTTGGCGGCTTGTAAATATACTGGACCGCATAAACCAGTGATTAATTGTAGCCAGCAGCAGCCAATGCTGTTGTCGCTTGATGACACGCAGTCAACGAAGTAGACTACTAGCTGAATCAACTCCTATGACAATATTCGTTGATGAGCAGCAGTGATAGGTTTTTCTGTGATTGTCAAGGGTGTAAGCTAATGAGGCGGGGCCTGAATGTTTTAACTCTACTTTCTGATTGTCTGGATACTGACGTTCATTTGTCAGGCATCATGTCCATCCTTAAAAAGACCGGCGTTAATTCTTGCCTAACTTCTGCCATGACCAAATCGAAACCAACACATGTACAAACGATGTTAAGGTGTCAATTGTTTAATAATTGAGTCATTTTGGAACAGTAATGATCCTTTCCTGACATATTCTTTTCTTGTTATTTCCTGATGCATGCACCGTGGACATTTTGTCCTGTGTTCTATTGTTACATACCTATTGTCCTACAACACACTGTGATATATGTTTTATCCTGATGCACGCACCGTGGACATTTTGTCCTGTGTTCTATTGTTACATACCTATTGTCCTACAACACACTGTGATATATGTTTTATCCTGATGCATGCACTGTGGGCAGTTTGTTCTGTGTTCTATTGTTACATACCTATTGTAATAACACGTTGTGATATATGTATTGTCCTGTGTGTATTGTTTTATACCTATTTTAATATAATACAGTGCGATGCGTGTATTGTCCTGTGTGTATTGTTACATATGTATTGTTCTACTAACAGCTGTTAAGTATATTAATAGACACCCCAAATATAAACAATATAGTATTTTTTAAGATTCTCTTTCTTGCCTTCAGGCTATAAAAAATCTCTCTTGTAAACATCCACCTTTAATTGAAATAATTGAATTGTATAATGGTCTTGCTACTGACCAATACGACATTGTGTTTTGTTGGTTACCCAGCCACGTTGGCATTTCTGGGAACACAATGGCCGATCTTGCTGCTAAGGCAGCAATCAACAAATCTGTGACACCACTTCTTCTTCCTTACTCTGATTGCAAATCTTGTATTAGAACTTACATCCGTGATCTGATGCAGAAGAAGTGGGACACCCAAGTAGGTACCACTAAATTACATGAAATAAAACACCTACTTTGGATGTCAGTCCAGATTAGAGGAGGTCATTATGCATCGATGTTGTATTGGCCACACAAGATATACTCATGCATACCTGTTGAAAGGTGAGGATCCTCCGTTTTGTATCCCTTGTGATGAAAGAACCACGATCAAGCATATCCTGCTTGACTGTGTTGAATTTTCCATCATAAGGGATAAATACTTCAATGTGAAAACAGTTAAGGATCTTTTTAACACTGTTAATTTTCATTTAATTATTGTTTTTTTTAAAAGGAAATTGATTTAATAGATGAATTTTGAATAATATGTTCTGTAGATAGATGTATTTGAATGATTGGTAGTTTAGATTAGTAACTTAGATTGTTAGTGGCTGTACCCTCAAAGGGGGTTACAGTACCATAAAATTGTTGTCCTCCTGAGAGGATACGTAAGTCCCGAAACATTTAGAGTCAATCTCAACTTACCAGATTTTTTAAACGTAGAATTTATGTGCTTTTAACTTATGGTTAAATTCGACTACAATTGTCAGCGGCTGAAGGGATGATATAAATCGAGCTAGGGTCCATGCAGGTAGCAAAAGTAATGTAAGTCCCCATGGTTCTTAGTATGGTAATCTACCTTCAGTTGTTGGCGATCTATAGCCTGTGTTTTATATTGTATTGTCTTCTTTACTTAAAAGCTTTTACTTTTACATGCTAGTTTTATGTTCATGTCTGTGATACTCTAGTATTTTATACTGTCCATCGTCGACAGGTTTTACTCTCTAAAATGATTTCTTTTTCTATTGTATAAATTGTTTTCGTCACGATACGGCTGAGATATTGCCGATGTGACGTTAAATATTAACTCACTCACTCACTCATTCACCTATTGTCTTATAATACATTGTCATATATGTATTGCACTGTGAGTTGCGTTATGTACCAATTATCCTATAATGCATTGTGATATGTGTATTGTCCTGTGTGTATTGTATTATACCAATTGTCCAATCACGTATTATGATGTATGTATTGTCGTGTGAATATCGTCATATACTTATAATCCTGTAACACATTGTGATATGTGTATTGTCCTGTGTGTAGCAGCGTTAAACAACAAGAAAAAGACACTCCAAAAACTATGATGTATGCAGTTTGTAAATAATCAGTGAATAACATAATGAGATACGATGACAGAGCATGTTTGAATAAATCACTGTCAAGTAGTGATGACACCAGGTGTTCGCTACAAAGAGTGAGCGTATGCGTCCCACCAGTCATAAACATCTGTTAAGGCAAGTCAATTGTTCACCTGAAAGAAATTGGGAACGCATGGTACAAAAGAATTCCACTGGACGTATTTCTTTGTCACTGATGCATCAAATTTTGAAATGTCATCCATGTATCTGCCATAAAGCTTTCGAAAGCTTTACTGGGCTTTGCGTGTCGTAACCTTAATTGAACTGCTTCAGAGCAAGGGTCGCGTGATGCTCTTGGGAATATTCGTAGATGCAAAGGGGAAATTGACTATGGGTAAGTTGAAATCATCCTTCTTGTCACACGGTTTTGTCAATAGTTTGTTGTTCCTTTTAATCTTCACGTATCGTTCGGGTCAGGCTCGCTGACTTTGTTGACACATGTCATCGTATCCCAACTGCTTAGATCGATGCTAATGGTGTTGGTTACGGGATTGTCTGGTTCAGACTCGATTATTCACAGACCGCTGCCTTATGAGTGGAATATTGCATAAATCCGTTGATGAGAGTGTTTGATGGGGATTCTAGAACTTGTGAGCCAGTAATAAAGCATGCAGCTTTATGGATAACAGCTTTTCATTTATTGCATAGAGTGACGTATCGGTGTATATACTTACACCATTTTCAAGCTAAAAGTGACTACAACCAAGTATTGAGAAGTATATAGATTAGTGTGTTGTGACAAACATCAGATTAACATTGACAACAGCATGTACTAGTAATTGAAGAGCAAGTGGTACATAATTGGATGAGGCCAGTTGAGAAGTAAGAACCAGCACGTGTAATGAAGCCAATAAGATGCCAATCGATAAAGTTGTCTGATTTATTACTGTGAGCTTTATCAGTTGATGGGAATTGGCTACTTCACGTCGTCTTTCGTAATGCTATGTCGAGATCACGTCTTCATTGCCTATAACCGTGTTCTACAACAATGATAATGTACATAAGTTCTTAGTGCGGAAAATAAGCGGTGTTGTTTTCAATAGATGCAGCTCGTGGCCACAATGATTTTTACGGAAATCCACTTCCATTACTTTTTTTCATCCTTCATTCCAACCAATCATGTTGTCCTGTTGTAATTTGTCAAAATCTGCATTGCACTATATCTCCGTTGCTCAAAGGTCCAAACCGTCGGGGAACTATCAGAAGGAATATCCATTTCAGTCACATTGGTACCTAATCAAGTAGACTTATTTTGTTACCTCGAAAGACGTGCGTGCTGGTTGATCTTTGACAATGGGATGTAGGATTGTTTCAGTTTAAATCTCATCTATTTCGTCCTCAGTAATAACTGGCAAACAGGCACAGGAGTAGATGGGTTTCCCTGGAACACAATACTTTTCATGATATTGATGGGGTGTGTGAGTGAGTGAGTGAGTGAGTTTAGTTTTACGATAATTTTAGCAATATTTCAGCAATATCAAGGCGGGGGACACCAGAAATGGGCTTCACACATTGTACCCATGTGGGGAATCAAACCCGGGTCTTCAGTGTGATGAGCGAACGCTTTAACGGCTAAGCTACCCCTCCGCCCCTGATACACAATAGTGTTCACTATGAGATGGGCGATGATGGCATACATACCTTAAGCCTCAGCATATAATGAGAACAATATTTTTCAGCCATAAAGGACAACATTTTAAACTCAGATGTGTCATGGTTCAGTACAGTTTGAGGATGAACGTCGTCACTGAAACAAGACTGTCCCAGAAAATGCTTGAAAATGTAAAAGTAATTATCTCGAAAATGTTGTTTTGTTTCTCAAAATTCTCTGCAAACTGCTTTATTAAAAATAATATTTAGCATCACAGCTTTAATGAAAAATAAATATTTGGGTTTGCAGCTGTGGGAAAATATCCAATCTCCAATATCACATGGTCGGACCTGAAATACTGTCTTGAGAGACTCTTATATGTTAATATGTAACACAAACTGGGAGAATGTATTTGGAGCATGACTGTGCTAACAGTAAATAACATTCTGGCAGGTCATGGCTGTGATTGATCGAAACATGAGTGTATGAAACTTTCACTTTAAGGAAAAAGAAGACGAAATGGCCTTTCCCCATTTTAATGTTTCTGCATTGTACAATTAAAGGGGAAAATGAACAGATATCCGTAAATGTATGATCTGCTGTCATGTGGTCTTTAGTCCAAATCTACGCCTAACGGATCTAGGGAATCGTGAAAGGTAAATATTTATACCAAGAATGAAACGGTTTTAACAAATATTCTATGCCAGAATATTACTGTTTGTAAAACTTGCAGCACCAAAACACATCTGATAGATAAATGTTGACCCGATTGAACCCGTCGAGGTGGTCCAAGGTCAACGGCAGGTCAGGATATAGTGAATCGAGCTCGAAATATATCGTCCTTTCAATCGTTGACGGACATATAACATCTGTCATACTTCAGTATTGGTTCTGATGTGTTCATTGTTATCACATAACTATTATTTCACTCACAAATTTGTGAATATGTTGTTCATGACCCTTTTAGTGAAGACAATTCCCTCAAGCATGCAATGAGGGCCTTTAATCCATTTCATTTACTCGGATGCACTTTCATCTGAAACTTCCACACCAATATAACCGCCACAATCTACCTTGTCTGACCACACCCAAACTCACCCAGACGAAAACATCCTGTGGAACAGCTTAAACGAACTCACCAGTAATCAGCCCCACTAAAAGATCCGGAAACTATTAGAAGACATTCACATCAAGAGACTCCAGTCCGCCATCAACGAAGACCAAGGTTAATATATTACATCCCTAACGCCTACCTTCAAAGCAATCCCAATGCCATCTCTCATTATTTACATTGTCCATCACATTACTGGATTCCTCAATAATCATCCCCTCTATCGTTTGCATTATGTAACATTATCTTCATTGTGTAAACATCCATTATACCTTATACCTTAACCTTATCTATTGTGTAACATTAATTACATTATCACGATGAAGTTTAACTGTATAAACATAACTGAAATCAAGTAAATATGCTTTACCCATAGTTCTGTGCACAATCACTTGCTTGATAGTGGTGTTAGCATCTACATTGAAACGTCAAATATATATTGTAATAAAGAAGATGTATACTGTGTCATCTATAGTGGGAACACAACTTTATTCTGGTGAGATCAAAGAACTTGTACACACCTTTAAGACTCGCCCATAGATCCAGTGTCCCTATGTGATATTGAAAGGCATCCACTTGGTAAATATTGCCAAGTGTGTTGCCATAAACTTAGTTAAAAATGGCTTCCGCACTTCAACATAACGCTATGACAATTCCCAAGGCTGATCAGTTAACTTGTACAGTTAATGGCTTCAAGTAGAATATGCGATGGCTAGCAATGGAGATGGCGTTTTTCAATTTCGAAAAATCCTCCATTGAGTTCCTGCTGTGGTCTTACTGAAATCTGTTCTTAGGCAACACCAGTTGTTTTTTTCTGGTTATTAAATGTTTATACGAACCAGTTAGCGTCAGTAGAACGACATAACAAAAGATGTTTGTGAATGTCAGTCACAAGTGTCTGATTCAAAATCGAGTACATTCAAATCCACCTGTTACAGCTCAAGTGAACAGTCAACAAGTAGAGAGGGCCATTACTTGGTACTTCCCCTCAAATCTTCCAAGCGTTTGTTGTAATTGTCAGATGCTTTAATGCAAATATCAACGGCGATCAGATCAATCATCTTGTCTCAGCGGCATAACACATCGCCACATCGACGTTCCCAAGGATATCTAAGAGTGTTACATGTTCAGAATGATGGATAAGGCAAGTATTACAGACCATGTTGCAATGGGATACTCAAAGTCTTATATACACACAAACACACACACCTACACG